ATTGGCTGTTTTGTCTGACCAGAAGGCCGCCAGGAGACTCAGAGGGAGAGGGGTGGCTGGGTCTCTGGGTGTCCTGAGGAGCTTCTCAGGCCAGCCCCCTCCCAGCCCAGGGACCCCAGGCCCACCCAAGACTAGGGGAGTTGCGATGGGCCAGGTGGCCCAGGGAGGCCCAGAGCGGCAGTACCTAAAGGTGACCTGGGCAGTCAGTGGCCAGCATGGGGTGTGATGGGCTCCCACCATGGTGAGTCCCAGCTTCTGCCCTGCACTGAGCCTCCCTCAGCCTCAGTTTCCTCACATGTCACACACCAGGCATCAGCCTAACAGCCTGGGGAAGGAGCATTTGCTCTGGGACAGCAGAACGGGAGCCTAGCTCCTGAGGCTAAGGCTGCCCAGCTGTTGTCCAGCTGCCAGAAAGGGGAGCTGCTCAGAAACCCAGAGCCCCCCACCATACCTGCCCTGTCCTGCAGTCCTGGCCTGTGGCTGTGGCTCAGATGGGTCCTCTGGGGAACTCTGCAGGAATGGGGTGAGGGGCAAAGTGGGGCGCAGGCAGCTGTTTGGGAGGCAGTAATGGGGCATCAAGTATTCCAGTGGGAGCATCAGGGGACCCTGGGGGTGGCAGACTGGTGCCTGCCAGTCAAGGCAAATGAGATGGCCCTGGGAAGAGGCCCCATCTGGCCCAGGTCAGAGCTGTGCAGGAGAAGACTGCCCCCCACCTGGTTAGGGAGTGAGGGTCTGCGGGGGGACCCAGGAGGGGGTACCAGGAGTATTGGGGACTTGAGTGGACCCCCTTGCCCAAGGTCAGACTTGCAGATGGGGAACCAGGGTTGTGGTTCTCCCATGGAGCCCTGGAGGCCAGGGGTCTGGGCCTGGCCACTGGAGCAGTGGGAAGGAGGTGGGGCAGGAAGTAGGGTGGGCCCCAGCAACTCTGGCATGACCCAGAGTATCTGCTCTGCCTTGGCCTCCTCTCCGTCTCTCCCGGGAGAGCCAGTCTCAGAGGCTGTCCCCTGCCCTCCAGAGTCACTTTGTGGAAAGACATGAAGGCCCAAGAGGAAGCAAGGGAGGGCCAGGTGCTGTTGGGGTGCACAGGAGCAGCCCAGATGTGGCTCTGCAGACAGGAGCATCCAGGGCCTGACACTCAGGCGGGGTAAGCAGGCTGGACCCCGGTATCCACGAGGAAATCTGAGCTCAGGGTCACACAGCATATTGGTCAGAGACCAGCAGCCAAACCCAGACTCCTGCCCAAAGTGGGCTTCCCCATCTCCTTGGGTCCCAAGGGTAGGGCTCCTCCCTGTGGAACAGGAAGCACGGGGTCCCAGAGGCCAGTGCTGCACCCCACAGGTCAGATTTGCACAGGGGTCTGCTCTCCCTGATCTGCAAAGTCTGGCCCAGGGTCCTTAGGAAACTCGAGGCCCCTGGGCAGGTGGGCTGGAGAGGCACTTGTTCCTCTCATCACAGCAAGGTGCCTCAAGAAGGAGGCGGTCCCTGAACACGAGCCTGTGTGCAGTCCCACCAGCATGGTTCCTCCTTGCAATATGCACTAAAATCCAAGGGGGGTTGGGCCTGAAATTCTGTTTGTGGGAAGATTTTATTTATTTATTTTTTCTGTCTCAATAAAGCCTTATTCACAAAACCTGTCCGTGGGCCAGATTAGGCCTGTGTAGTTTACCTGATTTTATTTATGTGTGTGTGTGTGGGTGTGTATTTAGTTGTAGATGAACCTTTCTTTTTTTTAAAAAAAATACTTTTTATTGTAGTTGGACACAAGGCCTTTATTTATTTATTTATCTTTATGTGGTGCTGAGGATGAAACCCAGGGCCTCACACAGGCGAGGCAAGTGCTCACCACTGAGACCCAGCCCAGCCTGAGAGTCCAGAATGAGCATGGATGAAGGAGGGAGTCACTGGGCCGGGTGCAAGATGGCAGGTTGGGTTTAGAGGGAGGTGGCTGAAGATGGACAGTCCTAGTCTCTTTTTTGAGACAGTTTCTCACTAAGTTGCTGAGGCTGGCCTCAAACTTAAACCCTCCTGTCTCGGCCTCCTGAGGCACCAGGATCCCAGGCATGGCCACTGTGCCTGGACAGTCTCTGGGATTCCCAGTGTCCCGTGCGGGCAGTGGTCCCCCGGAGTGGTGCTGTTTGGAATGTCCGCTGCTTGCGCAGCACTGACTGTTTTTACAGTTGATCTGACTCTTCCCATTCGTTGGCATAAAGTTCAGAATTTCCTCATTTTGATTTTATGTGAAATTTTTAAATTTTTATGAGAAAGAACACAGATTATGCAGCTATCCCAATCACAGGAACCCTTTGGGAAGCTGGCCGCCCAGGACTTCCAACGGCAGCGGGGCACCTCCCTGGTAACTTCTCTTAGTACCTTCTCCTACGCGCCGTGTTTGTGAGCTCCACCGTCCCGCAGGCTGGGAGTGGTCCACTCATCCTCATCCTCGGTGTTTCTCAGTCCACTCTTGACCGACATCTGAGCCTTTCGGGTTCTTGGGTGCTGTCAATGGGACAGCTTTGGCCACACCTCCTTGGCTCTTGAGTGGCTGGGCCACAGGGAAGGTAGGACATGGTGGCTGTTTGCCAGAGGCTGTACCAGTTTGCCCCCAGGCCTGGGACAGGGCAGGTCATGCTGCGCATCCTCGTCACTATCAGGTGGCCAGGCTTCGCTGGTGGGCTGTGGCTTCAAGTGGCACTGCCCTTGAGAGGAGTGTGCCGGGCACTGCTCTATGTGGCACTGCCCTTGAGAGGAGTGTGCCGGGCACTGCTCTATGTGGCAAGTGACCAGTCCACTCTGGCCAGTGGCCCTTCCAGTGCTGCTGTTCTATTGGGTTGTTTTGTCTTTTCCTGAGCTGTGAGAGCTCGGTTCCTTCTGGAAGGAGGACCACTTTTTCTTGCGCTAGTTGGCCATTTGCTCATCTTTTGTGAAATGCTTGTTCAGATTTACCTCATTTTCAGTTACAAGTTTTTGGATTAATATATAAACACACATATAAATAGCAATGTGTGTACTAGCTGAGTGGTAGAGACATAATGTGTATTTTAGTGTTTCATTTTAATTACACTATTGACATACTGGCTAACCCAGGGGCGCTTAACCACTGAGCCACATCCCCAGCCCTTTTGTACCTTCTATTTTGAGACAGTCTCACTAAGTAGCTAAAGGTCTTGTTAAGCTGTGAAGGCTGGCTTCAAACTTGTGATCCTCCTGCCTCAGCCTCCTGACTTGCTGGGGTCACTTATGTGCACCACCACAGCCGCCTATATCTTTTTTTTTAATTTATTTTTTAAATATTTATTTATTTTTTTAGTTGTAGTTAGACATAATACCTTTATTTTATTTATTTATTTATATGTGATGCTGAGGATCGAATCCAGGGCCTCGCACGTACTAGGTGAGCACTCTACCGCTGAGCCCCAGCCCCAGCCCACTATCTTTTTATTTTTTAAGTGGTTTCTTTATGGATAATGTTACGTATGTTTAACTCATCACAATCGCCTTCGGTAACATTGGACCACTTCAGTGTGAGAACTGACCACCGTAGTGCTGCCCTGCCCTGTCCTTTGTGCGAAGTTATCACTTGCTTTTCCTCTGCACCTGGTACGTTTGACAACAAGCTTTTTTATTTTGCATAGAGTTCATTGCCCTTTTTCTTTAGAGCTTCATTGAGGTTTGTAAGCAGTGACACTAACCGTCCTAAGTGTGCACTTCAGTCATTTGTGGTGGCCTTGAAGACTTGTACCTACCATCACCGTGAGCCCTTTGCTAGAACGTTGCTGCATCCCTGGATCCCCTCCACCCTGCTGACGCTGGGTCTCCCCCAACCCCAGCCCCAGGCGACACTGGGTTAATTCTGGTAGAATGAAGCCCCATCCCACTTCCCTCCGCTGCTGTTTGGTCCTCGTGGATTGCATGGCCTTGGTACAACCCCGTGACGTGGGCGAGGAGCACCGCTCTATCTACGGGGTTCACGGACTACAGCCTGTACCCCGATGAGCCAGCTGCTTCTGTAAGTCAAGTCTGGATGAAGTGCAGTCACGCTGTGCCCACTCAGCGTCCAGGCAGCCGCAGCTGCTGACCTGGAGGTGCCGGCCATCCGGGCTCGCACAAGAAAAGCGCAACTGCGCACTTCACACGGTCCTGTCAAATAAGTTAGTGAGAAGTGCTGCCAGATGTGCACGGGTCACTTCTGTCAGTGAGGGGGCCCGGGACAGCTGGGCTGTGAGATCAGGTCACCTCAGGACGGTGGCCTCCTGCTTGAGGACACACTATGATGCCCACACGTGTCGAGACTGGCTCTCGACCGGTTCCCCCGCGTGACGGACGGCCCTGGTCTTTTCTCTTCTGCGTCTCAGCCGCAGCCTCCCTTCTCTCTGGCCGTGCCGCCCCGGAGCTCTCTGAGGTCTGTTGGTTCCCCTGCTTCTCCGTCTCTTCACCTTGTGCAGTTTCTACTAACCACCAAGTGGACAGCTCTTTCTCTGGGCTCCCCAGACCTGCAGTTGAGCCACTCTGGGGCAGTTTCACCTTGGGAATGTCTGCACTGAGCGCGGCCACGCCTTCCCTCCATTCTCCAACGCACTTCCCTCCAGCTGTGACAGGCTTTCGGTGGGTGGTCGCCTGCATCAAGGCACCTCCTGTGGCGGTTCAGAGACTGGGTCCGCTGGCCGCCTGCTCCTCGGCTGGGGCTGTGCCCGAGGTCTCTGTGTGTCTTGTCGTTTATCGCTGAGTGCTGGGCGTTGAGGTCAGGTGTTGTATCAGCTCTGCCTTCTGACTTCACCCCCCTGGAGCGGGCCACTCACTTCTGTAGCTATTTTCTTGACCAAATCTGCCAAGTCTGAGCACAGTGTGGGAGCTCCCCAGCTCCAGCACACTACTGTCCAGCCTCATGCCACGGCCTCCCCACCCAGTGGCTGTGGCTCTCCCCGGGACTCAGTGTCCACCTCCCTGTGTGCCATCTGGTCCATCCACCAGTGTGTCTCCACCAACAGCCTCTCTTCCCACAGTGTCTGGCCGGCAGCTGCAGCCCGAGGAGCCAGGTGCAGCTACTGAGGAGGACCGCACTGTAAGTGGGACCAGGGAGGGAGGGTGTCCGCCTCGCAGCCTGCCCCCAGGCCTTCTGGCCTTGCAAGAGCCTGAGTGCTGACAGGAACTCGACTCTCTCCTCCTGCCAGGTGACTGAAGGGCCTGTGGACGAGGTCATTCGGCCACGGCCACAGGGGTCCTCCCCTGTCTACGAATGCACAGCAGAAGGCACTGGCTTTGGAGTCCAGGTGAGCCCCGGGCAGAGCTCACAGGCCGAGACGAGGCCTGGGCACAGGGCCCTGCACCGCTCTCCCTCCCTATCACCTGTGTGGGCGGCCCACATGCATGTCTCTGTACAGCACCCTGCCCTGTCTGCTGCCATCAGGCCAAAGCTGTGCCCATCACTGTCCCCTCTGGGTCCCCTGACATGGAGATGCCTGCGGCTACTGAGCTCGTGAGGGTGGGGCACAGACCCAGGCTCCCATGTGTGGGGCCCTGGTGGGACACAGGACGTGTGCACATGTGCAGCCTTTGGGGAGGACACAGGCCCCCGTGGAGGACAGGAGGGGCCATGGGAGGAGACGTGTCCTCAACAGATGGCGTCCTGCCTTTGGTGCTCCTCCTCCGTTCTGAACTCCAGTGCCACAGGGCTGGCTGGGGGAGCTGAGGCTGGCCTCAGGTGGAGGAGGCCCTGCGCTGCCTTTTCCCTGGTGGCCCCCAAGGGACGCAGCTCCCTCTGCACCCAGCTGCACCCTGCAGCTCCCGAGTCCCTCTGCACTGGGGTCTGCTGCCTGGAGCCTTCTGTTCTCCCTGACCCAGGGCCAGGTGGGTGGAACCTTCTCTCCTGCCTGTCCCAGGCTGGGTGGCGGGTAACTCCCAACCCCTGTGGCTACAGGAAGACGCCCCGGGCCGGCGAGGCTCCTCAGGGAGGCGGAGGTCCTGGTGGAAGCGGGCCTCGGGGGACTCGCAGGTCTTCTCCAGGATGAGCCACCCAGAGGTTGGTATGCCAGACCCAAGGTGCTGAGGGAGGGTGGCGGGCAGCAAGGAGACTGGCAGCGTCCCTGGGTCCCAGGGAGGGCAGGGCTACGGGAGGCCCCAGTGACGAGGGCCCTGGGTGTGTGGTCCTCATTACGCCCCCATCCAGAGGGGTGGTGCCAGGTCGGGCACCTGCACGGGTTGCAACCAGAAGCTTCAGAGCTCTGTGGGTACCCTGAGGGGTGCGGGGGCCTCTGCTGGACACAGAGGCCACCATCATGTCCAACATGGGTGGCCTGCATCCCTTCCCTGTGTTGGCCTCAGGTCTGTGGCCCTGCTTGATTTGAGCACTGGGTTTTCTGCATGTGCCCAGTGCGTCATTGGTGAGGGAAGGAGGTTTGACCACAGTGCCTGCAGGGGCCATCCTCTCTGCTGGGCATGGACAGCCAGTCCTGGCAGGCTGGGTAAGGCTGTGGGAGGCAGCTCCTACCTGAGGCTCTCTGTAGCCAGCGGCCTCCAGTGCTGGGACAGTGCAGCCTGCGTCCATCTGAAAGGTGCCCCCACCTCTGCCTGTGGTGCCCACGGTGACAGGTGGATGGTGTGGTCCCCTTCTTGGGAGACGCCAGCCCCTAGCACTGATGGCACAGCTCACCGTGGCTCTGATGTGCTTCTACTCCAGGCTGTGCGGGAAGTGACAGAGGTGACACTGGAGACTGAGGTGGAGGCAGGAGCCAGTGGTTACAGTGTCACAGGTGGGGGACACCAGGGGATCTTTGTCAAGCAAGTGCTGAAGGACTCCTCGGCTGCCAAGCTATTCAGTTTGAGAGAAGGTACAATGGCCGATCCATCCCTTTCCCCATCATCTGGGCAAAGATGGCCGGGACATGGAAGGGACCCGGAGGGGGCAGGGCCACACCTAGATTCAGGACCACCCCGTCATGTCTCTACTCGTCTGCCCCAGGCTGGGCCACCCACAGTTCCTCTTGGCCGTGCAATGGAGAGAACCTCCATTTCTCCCTGTTGCCCCAGGGCTGGGGGTCCCAGTACCCCCGACTTGGTGGGAGTGGGAACTAAGCCAGAGCTGTTCCTTTGTCCTCTAGGGGATCAGCTGCTCAGTGCCACCATCTTCTTTGACGACATTAAATACGAAGATGCTCTCAAGATACTTCAGTACTCGGAGCCTTACAAGATCCAGTTCAGAATCAAACGGAAACTGCCTGCCCCAGAGGGGGAGGAACTGGCCGTCTCTGGCCCTTGGCAAGACTCCCAGGGCAAGGAGCAGGTAAGGCCCCTTCAGCAGGTAAGTAGAGGCTGCAGAGGCGGCCCCTGCGTCCTCGTGTACAGGGCACCAGGCTCTGCGCCAGCTCCAGTGAGTTCCCTCCCCCTGTGTTTCAGGACAAGGATGTGACTGACGAGTGCACAGAGACCCCTACGAAGACACTGGAGGCAGATGGTGACCGGGAGAGGCTCATCTCCAAGCCCAGGGAGAGCCGTGGCAGGCGCCCCCACGAAAGGCTCTCCTGGCCCAAATTTCAAGCCCTAAAGAGCAAGCGGGGGCCTGGACCTCGGCGTTCACACAGTTCCTCCGAGGCACACGAGCCTGGAGATGCACGAGACGTGTCCCCGACAAGCACAGACACAGAGGCCCAGCTGCAGGAGGAGCTCCGGGCACAGAAGGCAGGGCCAGGCCGCCAGAGGAGGAGGAAGTTCCTGAACTTCAGATTCAAGATGGGTTCAGGACAGGAGCCCTCTGCCGCAGGGCAACTGGGCAGAGAGGCCCACGGCAGGCCACATCCTGCTGGGGTGCTGGGGGAAATGGGCGCCTGGGAGGATGGGCCAGGGGCCACAGGGGCTCCTGCGGGAGGCAGGCCCGAGGAGAGAGCACAGTGGCCAGAGGCTGGGCCGCCTGTGCAGCAGGGAATGGAGCCAGGCCTTCCAGCACACGCCCTTGGTGACAGAGCTCCTGCAGAAGGGGTAGGGATGGCTGCCAGGGGCCAAAGGGAGACACAACCCGTGAGCACCCAGCACAAAGCAGGGGAGCACAGCAAGCCCAGGAGCAGCACTGGCGCAGGCCGCGGGATGAGCTGGGAGCAGGAATGGGAAGAGATTCAGAGTCTGGAAACGGGGATAGCAAGACTGTCCCTGCTGGACACCCAGGACCCAGGCAGCTCACAGACACACGGACCGGAAACACAGGTCCAAGTACGTGACTTAAAGACACCCAAATTTGGAATTTCCAAAGAAAAAGTAACAGAGACAGGAAAAGGTGGCAAAGGACTTGAAAAGAAGAAGGGAGAGCAGACATCACCAGGAGAGGACGAGGGGGGCCGGACGGAGGCCACCGCAGAAGAGGACACACCAGTGGGCACAGGGCCCCAGGCAGACGCTGCAAGGAGGGAAGAACAAAAACAGAAGACACCAAAGACACCGCAGGACAAGGGGGAGACACAGAAAGATGAGGACCCAGAGAGGAGGGAGGCCAAGGCGAAGATGCCCAGGGCGCCAAGGAGCTCCATGGGACGGTCACCAAGTCGGGAAGGGAGAGCAAGCTCACCTAGAGCAGGAGGGGAAGGGAAACGGGAGACGGCCCGCGAAGACAGGAGGGCGACGAGGGGACCTCACGCGGTGGGCACAGAAGACGCCCTGCCAGGGGAAGAGCAGGAGCAGAGACAAGTGGGAGCCACACAAAAGAGAGACGCGGCGACCACAGAAGAGAACATCAAGAAGGGACACAGGGACCAGGACGCAGGAGAGGGCCAGCTCAGAAGGCCCACGTTCAAGATGCCCTCCTTCAGCGGGTCCGCCGTCGGCAGGGCCTGGGACGCGTCTGTGGAGGTGAGGGCACCCAAGGTGGAGGCTGATGTGGCCTTGCCTTCCACACAGGGTGACCTCAAGAGCTCTGACCTCAGCATCCAGCTGCCTGCCACCAACTTGGACACCAGGGATGGCCAGGTGGACGTGACCCTCCCCGAGGCCACCTTGCCTGAGGGAGACCTTCTGGCAGACACTGACTCTGGAGCTGGCCTGAAGGGGTACCTACCCAAGATGCAGATGCCCAGCATCAAAATGCCCAAGGTGGACCTTAAGGGCCCCCAGGTGGACATAAAGGGTCCCAAGCTGGAGGTGAAAGGGCACAAGGTTGAGGTGAGTGCCCCCAGCCTGGACATGGAGCTGCCCTCTGGACAGGTGGACATGCAGGCCCCCACCACCAAGCTGGAGGAGGACCTGGCTCTGGTAGACAAGGAAGTGGCCACCAGAGACAGCAAGTTCAAAAGGCCCAAGTTCAAGATGCCCTCTTTTGGCATCTCTGCCCCCAGCAAGACCTTGGACACATCCATGGAGGTGAAGGCACCCAAGGTGGAAGCCGATGTGACCTTGCCCTCCATCCAGGGTGATCTCAAAGACCCTGACCTCCACATGCAGCTGCCTGAAGCCAATGTGGACATCAGGGCTGGCCACATGGACATGACCCTCCCCGAGGCCACCCTGCCCAAGAAAGTGCTACTGGCAGCCCCTGATGCTGAAGCCAGCCTTAAGGGGCACAAGCCCAAGGTGCAGATGCCCAGCATCAAGATGCCCAAGGTGGACCTCAAGGGCCCTGAGGTAGATGTCAAGGGCCCCAAGCTGAACGTGAAAGGCAAGAAGTGCGAGGTGAATGCCCCTGACCTGGACGTGGAGTTGCCATCAGTGCAGGTGGACACACAGGTTCCTGGTAAGAAGCTGGAGGGGGACCTGGCCCTGGCAGACAAGGAAGTGGCCACCAAAGAGGGCAAGTTCAAAATGCCCAAGTTCAAGATGCCCTCCTTCGGTATGTCGGCCCCCGTCAAGACATTGGACACATCCATGGAGGTGAAGGCACCCAAGGTGGAAGTCGATGTGACGCTGCCCTCCATCCAGGGTGACCTCAAAACCTCTGACATTAGCATCCAGCTGCCAACTGCTGACCTGGACACCAGGGCTCGCCAGGTGGAAGTGACCCACCCCGAGGCCACCGTGCCTGAGGGAGAATTTCAGGTGGCCCCTCCTGCTGGAGCCAGCCTGAAAGGACACCTGCCCAAGGTGCAGATGCCCAGCATCAAGATGCCCAAGGTGGACCTCAAGGGCCCCCAGGTGGACATAAAGGGCCCCAAGCTGGAGGTGAAAGGCCCCAAGGTTGAGGTGAGTGCCCCCGACCTGGACATGGAGCTGGCCTCTGGGCAGGTGGACATGCAGGCCCCCAGTGCCAAGCTGGAGGGGGAACTGGCCCTGGAAGACAAGGAAGTGGACATCAAAGACAGCAAGTTCAAAATGCCCAAGTTCAAGATGCCCTCCTTCAGCCTATCTGCCCCCAGCAAGACATTGGACACATCCATGGAGGTGAAG